ACCTTCTCCACCAAAACTCTTCTCCCAAACCCTTCCCTTGCTCAGTCCCCTCGGTAAGGGTGACACTGCTAAAATCAGCACGGCCTGTCCTTTCTGATGCAGCCCGTGAGACACATCATGCTGTGGCGGCAGACCTAGCGCCTGTAAGGTACAAAGCTGGAACTGTCCCTGAAGTGCAAATATTCTGAGCCTTGCAGCTATAAAGCTCCACCAAAACTCTTCTCCCAAACCCTTCCCTTGCTCAGTCCCCTCGGTAAGGGTGACACTGCTAAAATCAGCACGGCCTGTCCTTTCTGATGCAGCCCGTGAGACACATCATGCTGTGGCGGCAGACCTAGCGCCTGTAAGGTACAAAGCTGGAACTGTCCCTGAAGTGCAAATATTCTGAGCCTTGCAGCTATAAAGTCATGGCTCCCAGGAGAACTGCACCATGAGTGGGCAATTCCAAACAGAGCAGGGAGGGCAACAGGCCTGATTCTGATCGTCTCACTGACAGCCACCATCTGGCGTATGGAAAGTGACCAAACCTACCAACCCAAGGACTTTGGTGGGTTCCACTGGCATTTTGCACCTTCTCTGAACGTGTTATTTTCAACATGTTTCCCAAGGAACCAATGAGCTTCGCATCGACCTCACTGATTTTAACAACATAAAATACTCCGCCAAGTACACGGCCTTCAGACTTGCAGGAGAGACTGAGAAATACAAGCTGATTCTTGGAGGCTTTGTTGATGGCACTGCAGGTAGGTTCTGGGCACATCCTATAGCTTCTGTGGCAGGGTTATGCTATGGAAAGCCAAGGAGATGCAAAATACCTCATGGCAGAAAAAATCCCTGCCCGGGAACATGAGCCCTGTCACTTTCACACAGCAGGGTCTCAAGAGGAAATGCTGTAAAATATCTGTTCTAGGGCCGTGTCTCCATGCCCACAGCTATATGAATAGTTCAAAGGAGATGATATTCCCAGGAGCGCTGTCAAAGTACCAGATTTTATGGTGCACCATCATTATTGCAAGATTCTTCGATTTAAGAACACCCTAAAATACCCCAAATCAAGATTCAACATGCAAACATGTTAGAGATGTTGCATCAGAAAGGTCTTTCCACCACCGCTAGAATAGCATTGACCTCCCCTTTCTATGCCCCCCAAAACTCTAGAATCAAAACAACCATCTCCAAATAGACATTTTACCCCCAGAAGAGCCAGGGGCTGCCTGAAATGCATCACTGCTACAGATTTAACAGGGAGGAGACACAGACCAATATCTACACGGGTATTAGGTGACTACCTACCACTGAAATCAATGAGCCAGATGCTTGATTCGGATTCCCCTTTATTCGGTTCTGGTGAGGCCACATCTGGAGTATTGTGTCCAGTTCTAGGCCCCCCACTACAAAAAGGATGTGGACGCATTGGAGAGGGTCCAGTAGAGGGGGCTGGCGCATATGACCTATGAGGAGAGGCTGAGATACTTGGGTCTGTTTAGTCTGCAGAAGCGAAGAGTGAGGGGGGATTTGAGAGCAGCCTTCAACTTCCTGAAGGGAGGTTCCAAAGAGGCTGGAGAGAGGCTGTTCTCAGTGGTGACAGATGGCAGAACAAGGAGCAATGGGCTCAAGTTGTGGTGGGAGAGGTCCAGATTGGATATTAGGAAAAACTATTTCCCTAGGAGGGTGGTGAAGCACTGGGATGGGTTCCCTAGGGAAGTAGTGGAGTCTCCATCCTTAGAGGTGTTTAAGTCTCGGCTTGACAAAGGCCTGGCTGGGATGATGTAGCTGGGATTGGTCCTGCCTAGAGCAGGGGGCTGGACTTGACGACCTTCTGAGGTCTCTTCCAGCTCGATGGTTCTATGATTCTATGAATTTGGGCCTCAGCTATGAGAGAGATGGTTGGCAGTTTAAAATCCCAAAATATATTAGACTGTATCTCTCGGGGTTCTGTTACTCTGTATCTGATGGAATCCTGTTGGCTTCACTGGCTTCCCCCAAACTTGCACCATGACAGCTGTGCTCAGAAGCTTCCTTCCACTAGTGAAGCTGAGCACAACCATCATGTTTCCTGTTCCCCTCGGGGTTCCTGGGGCTCAGTGGAAGGGGAAGCGAGCAGCCCCACCGTAGAACGGATCTGCCGGGTGCAGGGAGCCGAACTGCCAAGACTTGTACTAAGTGAAGAGCTTTGTTTTCCCAGGGGATTCGTTATCCTATCACAAGGACATGCCATTTTCAACCAGAGACCGGGACAACGACCAGCATTCCAGTAACTGTGCCGAAATGTTTAAAGGTGCCTGGTGGTACAACAGCTGCCACAATGCCAATCTGAATGGGATGTACTGGCTCGGTTCCCACACCAGCTACGCAGATGGGGTGAACTGGGAGACCGGCAAGGGGGACTATTATTCCTATAAAGTATCAGAAATGAAATTTAGGCCTGTTGAGCCGAGCACTTGGCCAACAGCAGCGAGCAGCGTGTAGGGGGATTGGTTTCTTTTTAGCTCAGACAGTTGCTTATCCCGTTCTGTTGGCCCCCTGCGACGTAAGCCCATGTTAGTGAGGGCACAACTGGCCCATCTGAGGAGGTGGGGTTGTTGTGCTAGCGCACGTTTCATAAACAGATCAGTGGCTAGATCCCTGGGCAGCATGGAGCGCAGCGAAGAACCCGGATCTGTTACCAAAGCACAAGCATCTCCCTTTCCCTGCATAGAATTGGTTGGGGACCGGGGCATGGGCTAGGACATGGCAAAGTTTGACATTCGTTGGCCAAAACCCTAGAGGATTCCCAGTTTCCCGGGGCAAGCAGGGATGACGGGTACCCACGGGGACGCATCACCCCTGGGACACCATGGCGAGATTTGTACCATCCACAGCAGTGGCTCTACCCCCTCTGTCAATGCCCCTTCCCAGCGCGGGGGGCAAGGAGGCAGCATGACAGTGCAGGGAGCTATCGGACCTGGGTTCGCCCACCCCGATCATTCAGCCACCCCCAATCTCATGAAATGGGCTTTAAAAATAAACTACAGTCAGCCTGATGGTTGTTTGCATTCCTGAACCTTTCTGGTGCTCACAGGCGCAGGCGGGGGCCAAGCACGTCTCTGCAACAAGGGCTGGCTCCCCCACTGGCGAAGATTAGAGCTACCCCCAGCTCTTTCACTCACTGCGAGGTTGGGCCTGGCTCAGCACAGCCCACAGGATCAGAGCTGGAACGGACGGGCTCCGGGGGGGTCTGTGCCCTGGAGGCAGCTCCTTGTGTGACTGACAGGGGCGTTCGGGGTAGTCTGCTGGCTTTAGCTCTGTGTGGGGCTCTACAGGGCCTACTGGGCACTGCTGCCCCACGGAGGGATCGCGGCGCATTAGGGATGTTTCACTCTTGTGTTAGTTCTTTATGATCATGATGTAACAGGCGCCTTCCCCGGAGGATGGCCATTGTTGACCCCCCCACTTATCACCTTGCTACACACTTGCCTCCCAGCTCAGCAGAGAAGATGCAGCTGCCCATGCAGGGAGCGCAGCCAGTGCTGCTGCCTTCCTAGCCAATGCGCAGAACCCAGTTTAATTCACAGGCCCGTGTGTACCGGGAACACCCCTCCGACTGCGCTGCGCTTTCCCAACACTTCTCCGCATGGCTGAGCCGCCGGGGGCCCGGGAGCGCAACGCTGAGCGTATAAACACGCCTCTGTCCAACCAGCCAGGCGTCACAGGAGCAGGGCTAGAACTCGCTGGCCAGCCTCAGCACTTGTGGTATTTTAACCTGAGCAGTCAGATCTGAGCCAGGACTGTGTGCGTCTTTCAGTGGTTTCCATTTACATGAAAAGGCAACGATGGATTAGCCTGCCTGGAGGCTGCCTGGCCTAAGGTATTCAGTGACTTCGCTCTCACAAGTGTCATGTGTATGGAGGTGGTCCAGCAACCCCGTGAGACAGGACTGAGCAGACACAGAACAAAGGCATCTCTGCCCGGAAGAGCTGACTATGGTCCCACGCCGAACGGTCTGGGACATGCCAGCACTGGTGAAACACTGCCCTGCAAGCCGCACACCTGCACGGCCACCCCGCTGCGATTCCAGTGCCACCCAGCTGATTGCCAGCTGCCTATGTTTGGACAGAGAGCGGAGGGAGAGAGGCAGGCAAAG